CCTTCGGCTGTCCCTGATGTCTTGCGCGCTCCATCGCTATCAGGGACAGAATTGCTGTGTCTCGACGGAAATACTTCCGGGGGTGCCGTCTCGCGACACTGTGCTTGTAGCCAAGCTGTCAACTGCTCGGTCGTCTGCAAAGGCAGGCGCTTCCATTCTTCAAGCTTTTCTGCTTTTGAACCTTGTCGCTTTGGTGCGTGCGATGATGGATGTGAAAGGCTAACGTTGTTCAACAGTATTAAGTCTTGGTTTTGGACGACAGTGAGTGTTGCGGAGAGTGCAGCCTCGGTGTCTGCCAGCCGCTTCTCAAGAGCAGTGATGTATGCGGCTGGAAGACCTCGCTTACCACCCTCTTGATAGTGGCATGGCAGCGATGATGTCTGGCATTGAGAACAGCATGGGCTGTGTTGGTTAGATGAAGTTCTGCAGCTGGCATGCGGGCTACCCACAGCTTCCGATCGCACTTGCACTTCTTCGATCTGCAATTCTCGCATGCAATGGCATTCAACTGAACCTCCAGATCGCAATGTCAGTGTATGTACCACAGTGCTGGACGAATTCGCGCACCGCTTCAGTCATAGTGGAATGACGATGGAAAGTGTTGGAGTTTGAGGAGGCTGGAGCTATCGGGAAGGTGTGGCTTGGTGATCTGTGCGCCACGAGGGAAGCCGGCCCCTAATGGCAGGCGCGTCAAGCCCTTCACGTCATCTCTACGACGCGACAGCATCTACTTCAGAGCTTGAAGCGAAATACATTACGAAAAGCAATGCTGCTGAGCAGAATGCGTATCGTGGATTGGTGCAAGCTCCTGCTGCAACCCGCCTGCGAATCGATTGCCGTTGCGCTACTACCGCGCAATGTCTTCCGCCTAAAGAATGCCCGGATTTTTGGCCCGCCAGTCCAGCCTCTTTCGCACTTCGTCGCCCAGATCAGTCAAGAAGTTGGCGACGCTGTGCGAAAGAACTTGTGGAGGGGCAGGAGATTTTCCCCCGCATTCAACCTTACCTGTTGTACCACGGACCGCGCCATACACGGCTAGTGCTGAGGTCCATGTCGGGCATCGGGTCATTTGAGTCCAGCCCTGCATACACATCCACGGACCTGAGTACACGGTTTTGATATTGAAGCTGACGGTGTTGAGTAAGGCAGACTATCATAACACGGCATTTATCCGCACGGCAGAGAGAATTAGCCTCATATTTCCAGGTATGGAGCAATGAGACTTGGTGGTGGTTGTATCGTCGCAAGACAGGCATTCGTATTCCCTTTGATCAACGGTCATGCTTCACGATGAAGGATGCGTCAACCGTACCACCGGGCACAAACCCCGCAAAGCCAAGAAGAAAGCGAGGCAGATCCAGCATCCCTTTGTCGGTTCGACGGTTCCTTGAACCGGTGAAGTGCTTGGCTTCGAGTATGTAAGTTGAAGAAGTGCCATCCTGACGCTACACTGAGTACCTATCTCAACCGGAAATATCATGGCACCAGCAGTTGCAGGCCCTGGTGACGGTATTATCGAGCGTCTGGTCGCCGCCGATACGGTACGATGGTGGAACAAGCCAAACCTCCGACGTCTCTACCTATTGCTGGTACCTTTCTGCTTCTTCATTGAGTCTACTTCTGGATTTGATAGCTCGATGATGAATGGAAGTAAGTCGTTTTTACTACAGCGCTGCTTGAGATGAAACACTGATCCAGTATACGTCATCAGTGCAAGCTCTCCACTACTGGCAAGAATACTTCAATCATCCCAAAGGAGGCCAACTCGGATTGCTTGTCGCCTGCTACAACCTCGGCGCTATATCGAGTATTCCGTTCGTTTCCATCGTGTCCGATCATCTTGGAAGGCGGAAGAGTATCGTCTTGGGGTCCACGATTATGATCATCGGAGCAGTAATGCAGGGCTTGTCGCAGAACCGTGAGTACCTTCAGCACGCTTATTGCATTCAGAGATTCTTGTAACTGAAACACATGCAGTCGCCATGTTTATCTTCAGTCGAATCTTCCTTGGCCATGGTATTGTCTATGCAATTATCTCCGGCGCCGCTCTTCTCGGCGAACTAGGCCATCCCAAAGAGCGACAGTTCCTAGGTAGTCTCTTCAATGCATTCTTTGGAGTAGGCTCAGTTCTCGGAGCGGGTATAGGTGAGCAATTTCCCTCCACGAAAGGTAGATGAATGCATACTAATCTCGGCCCCGATGTATAGTCGTGCGTACGCTGCTGATCCCAAGCGATTGGTCTTGGCGCCTCCCCTCCATCCTCCAAGCAGGCCCTTCTGTTATCCAGATCATCTTTGCTTTCACGGTCCCGGAAAGCCCTCGATGGCTGGTTTCGAAAGATCGCAGCGAAGAAGCTCTTGAGATCTTGATCAAGTACCATGCTGAAGGCGATGCATCGGCTGAGCTACCTCACCTTGAGATTGCTGAGATCAGGAAAGCCCTGGAGTTGGAGAACGAATCGCGACAACGTGGCTGGGCCGAGCTCTTCCAATCCAAAGGCATGCGACACCGTGCCCTTGTCGCCGCCGGCCTTGGCATCTTCGTCCAGTACAGTGGCAACAACCTCATCAGCCAATACCTTGTGCCTATCCTGGAAAAGATCGGCATTGAAGATAGTCATACCCAGGTGCGCTACAACGTCGGCTCAGAAGCATGGGGCTTCCTCATGGCGCTTGTCATGGCAACTGTCACACCCCGATACCCACGGCGCAGGATGTATCTGCTGTGTGCGAGTTGCTTATTGTGCGTGTATACCGCTTGGACCATTGCTCAGGCTCGTAATCGCCAGACTGGATCTAAAGAGACAGGCTATGCGGTTCTGGTCATGATCTTTCTCTACAAGCCCGCCTACAACATCGCCTACAATGCCCTCACATATGTCTACATGGTCGAAATCTTCCCCTACTACGTCCGAACCAAGGGTCTCTCATGGTTTCAACTCTTCAATCGTTGCTCCGTCATGCTTGGATCCTTCACCAATCCCATCGGACTGGAAGACCTTGACTGGAAGTTCCTCTTCGTGTACATCGCTTTGCTGTGTTGCGAGATTGTGTTCATCTACTTCCTGTTCCCGGAAACGTACGGAAAAACATTGGAAGAGCTTACTTTCTTGTTTGAAAGTGAAAAGGATGATGCCGATGCGCTCGCTGCAACCACCGCCAAGGTCATGGGTCAGGATAGCAACGCCATCGAGCTTCATGAAGCGCCAGACAAGAAGGCCTAAGTCGCAAGTAAAGTGGTGGCTGGGACTGAGGTCGATGGATCTTGCAAATGACGTTGCATTTGGCGCTCACAAGGCGGGTTTAGAGGCCGCTTGGAAGTGAGCCGCATTCCTTCGAGCGGGTATGAAACGGTCGTGGACGAAAATAGTGGAGATGGAGATGCACAATTTGTGGCTGTTCAGCACAAGTCAGTGTTGCTCGCGGTCGTCTCCGGTAATGAATCATGAACTAGTTCTCCCTTTCCCCGTGTAAGATTTTGCATCGCTCATTGTGGCTCGCAATGAACACTTCGGGGTCGTGCAATATTAATGAAGCCATGGCTGACATCAGCTCAACACCTTTGCAATGTTACGTCTACTCGTTCAACGTTCCGATGTAGCATGCGGCGCAGCAACATATCAAACCATACCTTGCATACAACGCCTGAAGAGGCTGGAAATTGCGCGGATCTCCACTTCCATCATAAGTTTGTTTCGACGACACAACGCACCAATGGTCCGCTCTTCTATGCGACCATGACACCGATCAAGCGACAGCGGCTACAGAAGACTGATCTCCGACTGATCGGGACTTGTGGGGTATCTTCCGAACGAATGGGAATCTGGCGGCTTTGAAACAACAACAGATGGGCATAAGCTTGGCCAGTGAGGGTACGCAACGATCGCAATGCAGCCTTGATAGCCGCGACCCGGCAGACTGGATTTAGCGTACGCCGGTGTTAGTACACGTGTCAGTACTAGAGAACACCGAATCGCATGTTCAGCCTCAAGCCACCGTAGTATCAAGTCAGTAAGCGAAGTGTTGGTTGTAGAGGGAGGGCTAGCTAAGAGGTGTCAGACGATGGTCCATCATAACACACCTGATATGCTTCGGCTACTCCAGAGGAAGGCAGTTGTCACGCTCCTGCTTGACACTGGGAGACGCCGTCACGTGAAGCTTGCTTCATGCATGCATGCGTTGTTTGCTTTGCACCGAGATGCCAAATGCACGATAGACGCGACGTGGAATATTCGAAAAATAGACGCATGGCTAAATATTCCGCGGCGCTGATAGGTGGCTATTAATAAGTGGGGTTATCGGCCCCGCGCTTAACGATAGCGCGACCCCGCTATCTGAACCCCCAAAAATTTGTCGAAACATCCCGATGCCGTCGTTCCCACCACCTCCACAACCACCCACGTCGCGCGAGTTCACGCGATACCTCCGAGGTTAGAAAGTGGCATCGCCATTCGCTCACCGAGCAAAACCAACATGTTTCCCCATCCCCGCGCTCCTTACATTGGCTGCAGCGTCCGATGAGGCTCGAAGCGCTTATACGACTGTGCCTCATTGATGCATCGTCATCGAAACGTGACCTCATGGAGGGGCCAAAAGCTAAGAATACGCCTAGCTGCATATGTTTTAATACCACAGCGGCAACGAGAATACGCTAGCCTAGCCATGCGGCCATCCCAGCGGTTATACACATGCTCTGTACGGCTACACCCACAGCGGTGACCCGGCTTGACAGCTCCCGACGCCCGCGCCGCACGTAGGTGTCGTGGAAACGGCCTTCAGCCGCCTTTCTTGGCACACTTTTCTGGAGGTTGGGTCTGGTCCTTGCGGCTAGCTCGTGCCGTGAATGGTGCGTTTGCTCGGTAATGCACCGGTTTCCAGAACGAAGGCATAGTTTGCATGTACGCCGCAGTAACAGTGCTGTTTGATGTTTCGAGCAGGCTCCAATCATGGAAATGGCTTGTGGAGGCTTATACTGCAGCTCGATGTTGTTATAGTATGGCGATGGTAGGTGTGCACAACGTATCTGCAACTTCATTCCAGTTTGGCATTTCTACCTACCAGCCATTTACTGTTCCAACATACACATTGTCACGTTTATCTTCTGGTCTTGGGAAGAGCAGGTATCCTTGCCACGCCTTCTCCAATGCCGTATCCTATTACCATACCAGGCTCGCCCTCCAACATGTCTCGACCAGAGCGCAGCCCTATGCACTGGCCCACCTTTCCCGACATTCCAATCTACCTCGATACAGGTAACAATCGTGCGGCAGCAAAGTCGTATGGGACTACCCCAACAACACCTACAACGCCAGAGATCTTGCCTCAAGGTCGTCCAACACATCTGAGTCCAGCCCATATCAATGCCCCACCAATCAGCCCGGCCGAGCCAAGTCCTACCACCACTATTGAGACATCATCCGATCATCGCTCCGTGATCTGGCCGATTCCAGAACCGCCTCCAGAGGTCATCACTCAACAGCCTCGCCGCCCACTACTTCGTTTCTTCCCCACGGATCGACCGCGTGTTCGACTCGATGAGCCTTCGTCTCAGGCTCCACAGATGTGTACGGATCCAGAGAAGCAAGACTATTCTGATCACAAGTCTCGCTTTGGTCTTGGTATCAGCGACGGCCCGCCCAGGCCACCTTCCATCCGGATACAGCCACCACCCTTCGACAACGAGAAGGTAGAACCGGCATCGAACATCGCCCAGCGTATTGAGGAGAAGCTCTGGACCTACAACTCTTCGGGTAACGTCGTCGAGCGCTGGCTTCTTGAGATCGTCAGTTGGTTGATTAGTGCTGTGTGCATGGCCGCAATCATCGCGGTTCTGGTTGTTCTCAAAGACAAGCCCTCCTCCAAGTGGCCTTTCACCAGTATTGGACTCACACTGAACGCGTTTGTTTCAGTGCTCTCACGCATCGCCGGTGCCGCACTCCTGCTTCCTGTCGCGGAAGCACTCGGACAGCTCAAATGGAGTTGGTTTATACGAGGAGACTCGAAGAAGATGTGGGATTTTGAGATGTTTGACAATGCATCACGAGGGCCGTGGGGCGCCTTTCTGCTGCTCATCCATACGAAAGGCAAGACCATTGCAGCTCTCGGTGCTCTCGTCACTATCTTTGCCCTGGCACTAGATCCTTTCTTCCAACAGGTCGTCAGCTTTCCAGAACGCTGGACATTACAAGATGCACACAGTTCCGTCGCGCGCACTGTACGCTATGAGCCCGAATTCGGAGTCGAATATCAGAACGGGGTACCCATCGTCCAGCTAGATACCGTGATCCAGAGCGTCGCCGACCCTTTCTTCCTAGACAACGGAACAAAGCCAATGCCTTTCGGCAATGCTAGCAGAGCGGAAGTACCCTTATCTTGCCCTAGCAGCAACTGCACCTGGCCGAGTTACGAGACTCTCGGAATGTGCAGCCAGTGCGTGGAAGCGCCTGAACTTCTCAACTTCACGTGTATGTTTACGCGGGTTGACTGGACCTCAGGACTCAACTCGACAGAGTCTTCTTATCCCAACGCCACGGTGTGTGGGTACTTCCTCAACTCTACCAGTGATACGCCAATACTTATGTCTGGTTATATGCTCGGTGAGGATGGGAAGACTAAAGGCGAGGCCTTACTCATGCGGACTCTGCCGCTGACAACCAACTACATGCGCGATCCTCTTTACGGAGACGGCTCAGTCAACTTCAAGAACATGCGCAACTCGATCGTGGATGCTTTGATCTCTAGTTCCACGAACATTGACGAAGTCTATGCCGACAAGATGCCAGCACTTCATGAGTGCGTAGTATCTTGGTGCGTAAAAACGATTCAGTCATCATACTACCTTGGCACATACAAAGAGGAAGTCACTCAAGTGTTCCTCAACAAAACGAAAGGCCCATATCCGTACTACACCTATGAGGTGCCGGACGACGTTATCATGACTGATTACATCGAAAACGTTACGATATCCGCACCACCGACAGCCCAGAACTTTTCGGAATTCGGATGGGGTGTAAACAATAACACCCACCTCTACGCCCTTATGATCTTCGATCGCATCTTTCCCTCGTTCACGAGCGTTACCAACGCGTCTGCCGAGCCACTTCTTCGATGGAGGACGGGTCATCCGACGTATGTTAGAACAAAGATTCTAGACTTCAACCCGTGGTTATTACCTAACAACATCACACACCACATGGACAGGATGGTTGAGTCCATTACCAATGCGATTCGATCTTCCACCAGCAGTGAGTCGGTATTCGGTCAAGCTTTCGACAATGAAATCTATGTAGATGTGCGATGGGCCTGGTTATCACTACCACTCATCTTGCTCTTCGTTAGCTGTGTATTCCTTGTTTCTACAGTCGTCAAAAGTGCTACTGAGAAAGGCTCAGTGAGTATCAGGAAGAACTCAGCGATCGCGACATTACTCTATGGTCTTCCCGATCATTATCAGAAACGACTGGCAAAATCCGATTCAAAGGGTACCCCAAGAACAAGAGCAAAGAACTTGAGAGTCAGATTGTCTGCGACGCGAGGTTGGAGAAGTTCAGGGAATGTATTCACGCCTCTTACTCCGAAGGCGCCACCGAACCTACCACCACCTGGGTGGATCTAAAGCCATTACCGCACCCGATAGCCGCGATTGGAAGAGCTACCAGTGTACAAGTTGCCGTAATCGTACGGTCAGAATACAGGAGAATGAAATCGGTTGAATGAGAAAGGAAATACAAACATTATCTTCTGCTACACCCCGGTGCACCTGCCATATGCCGACTTCTTATTTCAACGCGACGCCTCATTCACACTCTCGGCAACGTCACGCTTGCTGGAGCCACCTTTCGGGAAGCCGATCGCACGCCTGCTGGAGCCACCCTTGGGAAAGCCGATAGCACGCTTGCTGGAACCACCCTTGGGAAAACCGATCGCACGCTTGCTGGAGCCACCTTTCGGGAAACCGATAGCACGCTTGCTGGAGCCACCTTTCGGGAAGCCGATAGCACGCTTGCTGGAGCCACCCTTGGGGAAGCCGATAGCACGCTTGCTCGATCCACCCTTGGGAAAGCCGATAGCACGTTTGCTGGAACCACCCTTGGGGAAACCGATCGCACGCTTGCTGGAGCCACCCTTGGGGAAGCCGATAGCACGTTTGCTAGAACCACCCTTGGGGAAGCCGATCGCACGCTCGTCTAGATCTTCTTCGGCATCGTCAAGATCACCTTCGCTCTCATCGACCACGACATACGATGCCTCTGTAGACACCGCTTCGGCTACTGGTTCTCTCCTGAGAAGACCTCGGAAGAATGTGGATACGGAAGAATAGTCGCGGCGCTCAACAGTTGGTAGAGGGCTGATCTATCACAAGAGTTAGTCGCTGGGTGCGAGGTCTTAAGACATGAACGGTACATACGTTGCTTGTTGGCATTGGTGCAGCGATAGCCGGAAGTACGGCAGACGCGATGAGAAAGATAGCGCGTGCGTGCATGATGGTGGGGTTGTTTGATGTGTCGGGGAAGATTTCGTTACGTTGTGGAGTCTAAGACTGTAGATGTTGTCTTGGTAAGAGGAAGACGATGGTGTATACAACAGAGTCTGTCAAGGAAGAGATGGTATGCCTGCTTGGAATGGAACTCAAGAGGTGGGAACCTGCGATGCATTTAACCACGGTCATGGATGCAAGACAACGACGCTCTACGGTGCATCACACAACACACTCATTTCCACTACCCATCCACGGCGCTTCAACCCGTTGCGACCCTCTCTACGATAACCGCCTTGGAAGCCACCGTCGCGACGCAGGGTGCATGGGACAAGCATACATGCTGCTCATGCGATACGGAACTTGGACAATCATTGGGGGGAATGTGGGAGAGCATATCGGTTGGGGTACAGATTCGGCAAGCTGAAACGCAAAAACCGATAGTGACTGGGACACAAGGCGTTAGGGTCGAAATCATGGATGTCCGGCAACGCGATGTGATGGAGCCAAAAGTCCCTGGCAACGTCGTCACACTGACTTATCACATTCGAAGCGCTGCGAGGCTCTCTCCAAGGCGATCCTCTAGACATACGATTTCTGTGAGTCTGAACCATCACCTGCGATTTCAACGATTCCAGAACTCTTTCTAACCAATCGAAGGGGTCAAGGGGTGCAAGGTGGCTTGGCGGCGTTTTCAACGTACCCCTGGAGCTGAAGCGATTGGTTCTGCATCATCGGTACCTTGGGCCTTCAAACCGGCCCGGCGACCGAATCACACATTACCCGCACACGTGATGCTTGCAGGCGCTACGCTCTCTGCGTCATTTCGCGATTTTCGTAGATGTACAATGAAATCTGATGCACGAAAGACAACGTTGGAAAGCCACATGCTAGAATGGATTTTGGTATCCCTTTCGCTATCACCATACTCACATCACAGTTTCTACGCGCATGCAGCCTGTCCGGGAGTCATCGTGATATACATGACGCGTCTTCTCCACTCCACACCTGTCGCGTTTCTTGTGTTACTAGGGACCTTGGGACCTGGTCAGGTAGGCTGCAGGCAGGCATCTCCTAACCATTGCGAATACCGAATACTTGTCTAATCCTCGCTCGACTTCATGAGTTCAAACAAAATTCTAGATCACTCGGTGCGAAGACTGATTCATGCGACCAATGACAGATAGCTGTTAGCCGCCCGAAGCTCACGTCCAGATTACCACCTTCACCCCGGTGGCGTCAGTACGGGCCTCATCATCTGCAGGCAAACCTTATCGAATGCGCCTCCATGCGTCCTTAATCCCATCACCACCACGTTGGTAAGATCTGCCTGCCAAAAGCCCACAGCCCTACGCAGGTCGTCGCACCGACGCATGTCATGAGAGACTGAAGGACTGTTGCACCTGCATTGCGACAATGCAATGCACTCAGATCACATTCTGAACGAGTAGTGTTAACCGAGTCACATCTTCCTGCTTGATCCAGCATCTACGAGACGGTGACGCGTTCCAGGCTACCTGACGTACTGCTTTGATAACACTATACCTGGGTGTCAACATGGTGTTGTACTCAAGCACGTTTTCTGCAGGCAGTGCATCATGTTACATATGCCTCGTTCATCGTAGTACATTGTACAAGCTACCTCCGTACCATTCAATGAGTGATTTCAGGCCCTATCGAGAAGTTTGCCGGGTCATTTTGTCCTCCAAGATAGCCTACACAGGAAGCAAATCCACCGTGGGCTTCGACGAGCAGATCTATTCCTTGCATTATTATCTTTTCACCAATCCTCACATCATACAAAGTTCATGCTATTGTGATGGCTTTTTGTACGGCTCTAGCTATCGAACGAGACGGAATCATGTGGCTAACACCAGAGAGCATTGAAGTGTAAGGCTCATAAGGCTCGAGGAAAGTGCCCCCATATTGCCATTCCAGTGTGGTGACGTATTGAGCTGTCGCATGTAAGATCCGCGCTACGGAGTTTTCTAGGGCTAGTGTTGCGGCCCTCCGGCTGGGTCAGGTACGCGAGGCTCGAGCCTTCCTTCAACTCACAGCGTCGTGGATGTTCCAAACTGCACACTACTTCGGTGCATCAGCTATGCCTTTGAGGCAAGGGGTTCACCAGACGAAGTTAACGAAGATGTACGGAATAAGTACCGCGGTTTTCCTCACACGCTTGGTGACCGAACACAAGAGCTGTGTTGCGGACTGTCGCAATACTTTGTCGTACTGCGCGAAGCTGACACCAGATAAAGCCTCCTGTCGTTGCGGGAGAGGGTGTTCTTCCATCTATTGAACCATAATGCCGAAAGCTTGCCTCCGCATGGTGAGATCGATGGCTTCATGCGCTGTCTGTCCCAAATCTCTGTTGACTAAACAGGTCACACACGGCCGACTCGGCGGCCAATTGAGCCTCAACACGGCAGCTCCTAGTCAGGCAAATCCATATACGTGACGCTCGAATGGAATGTACGGTGCGTCTTCACATATCGCGTTGTTGTTTGTGGCAGATTCCTTAGTTCCGGTGTTCTCGTCTTTCTACCTACCTACCTATCTAGGTATGTAGGTATCGTTCGGGTCGCCTTGCGTTCTGCCTATCTTCGTTGCCAGCGCGTAAAAGCTGTGTTGTTCCCGCAAAACCGTCGTGTGGCTCCGAACGGTTCGACACACCGTGGCTGCAGGATGCCGTGCGTGCCTGGGCGCTACTGTAGGTACGCGACATGATTGGGTAGACTGCATCTTCCTTGTCTCTACGAAACTGTACGACGGCTGGAAACCACCATGGAACGAAAGCGCTGTGAGCGCTTAAATGTCCATTGCAATAGGTCTCAAGTTGATCCGGACTCCGAGCAGCTCGAGCGTCCAGCGCTCTGCATGCACGCACGGCTAGGTAATCACTTCCCTCGAAGCGCAGAGTGCCCAAGCGCTATCAGCTGCAGAGTACGCGTTCGACCGATAAGCGCAGGTTCATTGTGAAAGACCGACTTTCTGTTGGAGGCCGCCAATACAGCTTTCGCACATCATTCTCAGCATCACATTCTCAGCGCCCATCTACAGGGGAACACTCGCAATGCCATTTCGGCACGGAAAGCTTCCACCAATACCATGCTCGCTGTCGCGCAGGCTGTTTGTGTCGAAGGTCATAGGGAGACTCAAACTTCGTTTCGCGACAGATTTTGCGTTAGTGAGAGAGCCAATCTACCTAGGTACTGGATCGCGAACCTTCGAAGACGAGCATCATCGCTTCCTAACCAATGTTCATGTCAAGGTGTCCGTACTTAACCCGGTCAGGTTCCAGACCTGACGAACTTTGACTACCTATAAGAGAGCTCCTACTAAAACTACTTACCTTAGGGAAGAGCACAACCTTGGATCATGAAAAGACCGATTTTGGGAGCTCTTCGTCATACGCTCTGGTGACGTACAATGATGGCGCTAGCGTGATAGCCCACGTGCCCCAGTCGCGTCGGGACGCATCACGAAGCACGCGAGCTGCCCGTCGTCGCTACACCACGTCTGCACTTGACAGCCGCATCTTTGAAGCATTCCTCTCCTCTCGCACTGGCGTCCAGCCCGTGCGATGATCACAGTATCGCACCCTGTCCATCGCCAGCATGCTTCCTCGACTCCAGAGCTGTGCCGCAGCGCCAAATAGACCTCCTGCAGCAACTGATCTACCTGGCGCTTAGTCGCCATTGTACAGAGGCTCGATAGCTCTTATCTTGGATAACTTGAACTCGACTCCGCTTAACTTACGACTCATAGTGGCCGCGATATATGAGCGAGGGCATCGTCCACCGTATTTTTAGCCGCCCGATCTTCGTGAGGAGGTCATCCATCGATAAGCACGCCATGAAGAACGTCGGCAGACCGCTCTACTCGATCTCGTACGGAGTGCGCTCCAGTGATTGCTCCCCTTCGCGCAAATCCTTCGAAAGCCTCACGATAGGCACAGATGTCGCCCGTCTCCAGACTCCCACCGTCCTACAACCCGTCCCTCAGCAATGAGCATACCACTCCGCCTCCCTCCTACCGTACGTGGACTCAACACAAGCCGTCGCTAGACTTCCCTCAACGTTTTGAGAGGAAGCTAGCTGAATACAACGCGTCACAGAATATATTCAAATGTTGGCTATTTGAGATCATCAGCGTGGGAACAAGCGCTATCTGCATGGGTAAGACTCGCATCTTCGGCGCCCGGTGTGTACATTTTCTGACCACGAAATCAGGCGCAATAATCGGACTACTATACTATCTTCATGACCAACCCTTCGACAAATGGCCTCCAGGCTTGACCATCATCACCGTGCTCTCGAAGATCGCATCTGCAGCGCTCATCCTACCCATATCGGAGGCCATCGGCCAGCTAAAGTGGACATGGTTCCACGGGAAGAACTCCAGAGATCCTTTCGACTTCGAGATCTTTGATAAAGCATCACGTGGCGCGTGGGGATCCTTCATGCTCTTATGCCGCACCAAGGGCAAGTCGCTCGCTGCTCTGGGTGCACTCATAACAGTCCTACTACTGGCGATTGACACGTTCTTCCAGCAAGTGACAGATCTTTCAGAGCGCTGGAAACTGCAGGGCGAAAGCTACATTCCACGTGTCGTCCGATATGAGCCTATCATGGAGTTCCTCTACGACACAAGTTTTGACAACAACAATCCATCGTCGATAGTGAATACCGATCTTAAAACAGCGTTGGCCCCCTTCTTCTACGACAAGAACGGCACTTCGCCCCTTAAGATTGGAAACGCTACCCAGGCCCAGATACCACTGGGATGCCCTACCAGCAATTGCGAGTGGCCGCCTTACGAGACTTTGGCGGTTTGTAGCGCTTGTGAGGACATATCGCATCTGCTCGAGTACGCTTGTCTCAACATGGGAATGGACTGGATCAAGAATTCGACTGGCCCTAAAAGGAAAGAACCCTATCCTATAGGTAAGTTTGCCACTTGATCTTCAAGCACGTTCGTGCCCAATGGGTGAGCGTTCGCTAGTCCCTCGCGTGGGTCTGGCCGGCAACGTGCAGCAGCCGATGCAGACCAATACCAGGCCATCCGCTAATGATACGTACTACAGGCACTGCTTGCGGCTACTTCCTAAACGCTACCAGTGAAGACCCCGTCCTCATGTCAGGCTTTCGCGTTGAGAATGGCACCGACTCGTTGCATGGAGAGACCCTCCTCATGCGAACACTACCGCTAGTTACGAACCCTTCCAGGCATTCACTCTACGGGGGGACCATAAACTTCAAACACATACAGTACCCTATATTGGACGCGCTGATCGTCAGTTCTTTTGACGGTACTGCGGACAGCGTTCATGCGAAGAAACCTCCAGTCGCCCAAGAGTGTATGCTGTCATGGTGCGTCGAAACGCTTCACTCGTCGTATGCGTCGGGAGACTATAAGGAACAAGTGGTCGATACCTTTATGAATACTACGAGTGCGGAATGGCCATGGTGGTCTTATGACATCTACGAGCAGCAGACGACCTTTACCGAGTTCCGATCAAACATCAGCATACATCCCCCATCTCAAGACAACAGCGCCATCCCTTTCGGTGTTTCGAACGACACAGTTATCGACCTAGCTCTCATTCTCGACGAGATATTCCCTTCCTTCATCACAGTCGCCAACGCGACAGCGCCGCCCTTTGTGAAGATCAGGACTGCCGCTATCGATAACGTCTTTTCCCGTCTTGTTCGCTTCAGCCCTTGGCTCGCTCCCAATAATGTCACCCTTCACATGCAAAAAATGGCCCGGACACTCACCAACGTAATGCGGTCAGACATAAATTCTAATGAACTTGTCGTTGGGGACGCGCGGGTCTTGGAGACGTATGTCGCAGTTCATTGGCCGTGGCTCATCTTTCCTTTGATCATGTTACTCTTGAGCATTGTTTTCCTGGTCGCCACCATGCTGAAGACTTCCAGCGTTGATCACGGCGACATCGGCATGTGGAAGACTTCGGCAATGCCGACATTGATGTATGGTCTGCCACAAGACATGCAGAAGGACGTTATCTCCTCCTCCACAAGGTCTGGAGGAGGATCTGACAAAGGTTCTCGCAAAGTACGGATTAAACTCTTGCCAAAGCAAGGCTGGAGAGTATCTGGGCATGTACATTCAGCGGCGAAGGCCCCTCCGGGTTTCATATAGCTTCTACATGATGTTCATGATGCAAATATCCATACGACGAGCCCCTCCAAGTTGTCACTAACAGCAAGAACTTGTACTGGACTGGTACCCAGGCTGTTTTCGATACAACCCGCTTAGAAGCTTATTCTATGGCCGATGCTGTAATCGACGCTAGGCACGTGACGTACCGTTGAGGCATGTATTGTCAAAGTACCCGTGAGTGTCATGAGGGGATTATGGAAGTCGCGTCGCATCGCCAGACTAATGCCACAACAAGGCTGGCGGGTGTCTGGAGCAGTTCAGCCTGCAACGACAGCTCCACCTGGTTTTATATAGCTGCAAAGTCTTGCTCGTTATACACACATGAGAACGATGGAGATTGTTAAATCGCGCGCCGAGATCTGTCTGTGATCCAGTCGTACGCGACAGCCATGTGAGACTCGGTACTAATCGCTCATGCAGCCGATATGTTCGACTGTCAGGGTAACAGCTTAACATGACAACGAGCCTTGTGTCTGTCTTGCGACGTAGTCGGCGTCAAAGCCAGCGGTAAACCAACCGGTGTTATTGGCTCAAACCGCCAAGCCACACGCGAGATCAACGTGGTTAGACAAGCAAGTCTGCACGACCATGGACTCGCAGCTGCTCGGCGCCAAAGCCGCTGCTCTAACAGCCTTTTTCCCTTGCTGGCAGATCTACCTTACCCCCCGCGGCTGGATATCTTTAGTTTTAGGACGTGCGATCGCTGCGTCTAGGAACTGTCGAGCTAAGCCACATCCCCGCTAAAGGTTTACAATGTATGGAGGGTTCATACAAGAGCGTGCCACCTATTTGATGGCACGCTTTCTTCATTCAGCAACTGTCAGGCATATCACCATTCGACTCACACATCCTCAATGAGTGAACCACCCAGTTACACATCCGCGATCTCAGAACACCCACATAATCATATGCCGACACTACCTCAATACCAATTCTCAAGACACCCGCCTCACAATGCGCACATCTTGGAACGCGATGCGCCACCATCGACCACTTTCGATGAGGTCGAGAAAAAATCACTAGACTTGGTACAGCGCTTGGAGAAGAAACTGGCTGAGTACAACGCGTCTCAGAATGTTTTCAAGAGATGGCTTTTTGAGACTGCCAGTTGGACAGTGAGCGCGTTGTGCATGGGCGCCACCATCGGTATCTATGTATCGATCAGTGGGGAGGAGATGACCAAGAGCGAACGACTTCTCACGATAGCCAATATCTTAGGCAAGGTTGCATCCGCTGCCCTTATCGTACCGACATCTGAGGCACTCGGGCAACTAAAGTGGCATTGGTTTCATGAGTCCAAAGCTATGTGGGATTTCGAAATCTTTGACAAGGCATCCCGCGGTGCATGGGGGGCTGCACTACTTCTATTCCGGACGAAAGGAAGATCGCTTGCTGCGTTAGGGGCGCTTCTCATCGTGCTACTGCTTGCCATCGACACCTTTTTCCAGCAAGTGGTAACCTATCCGGACCATTGGGCCATGCAGAACTCTTCCTGTTCGATTCCAGTCGTCAAGAAATACCGTCCACCTACCTCGAAGTTCTACATCAAAGCTGAAGAACAGGGGTTGTATGATGAGGTATCTGCCCCTATCATCAAAAAGTACTTTTATGGGAACGGCACACGATCTACACAGCTGGGCCGAGGCATTCGTCCAGAGATTCCCTTATCGTGCCCTACTAGCAACTGTATTTTCCCTGAGTACGACACTCTTGCAACGTGCAGCAGCTGCGCGGAGGTCTCTCACAGTCTAAACATCACGCACGCATGTCTCAACACCACGATCGACTGGAGTGCCTACTACCAAGGTCCGATAGAAAGTGTTCCGTATCCAAACGGAACCGTGTGCGGGCATTTCCTCAACATCACTTCGATTACACCGCTTCTTCTCTCGGGATACGTGGTACTAGAAAACGGAACGACAAACACTACTGGCGAGGCTCTATTGATGCGTACAGTTCCTCTTTCCGACTTTTGGACTAGAGACCCCTTCTACGGCTCAGGCTCTGTCGCCTTCAAGAACATTCGTTATCCAATCTATGACGGACTTATCGCATCCGCAGCGAATGGTATTGGCAGTGTCTTCCGACACGAGCCCCCTGTAGTCCACGAATGTGTACTGTCGTGGTGTGTTCAACGCATGAGATCCTCGTACGAATCGGGTATATACAGCGAGAGCATCCTTTCAACGCATCTGAACATCGCCACCGACCCCACACCATGGCCTTGGATCGTTACAAAGCGGGAGTCTGGCACAGATTTTGTTTATGCGCCCAATGTGACTCTCGATGTTCCATCGCAGAGCTTGCCAGGTGCAACCTCACCCGGCCCCAACATCACGTATACAATCTGGAACGAAACCGTCTGGAAAGTCAACGCCATTTGGGACGATTTCTTCCCAGCATCTTATACGAGCAACAACTCGGCGATGCAGCCAATACTCAGGTTTCAGAATTACGAAAATGGCCCTGCTACGCGATACATCGACTTCAATCCCTGGCTAGCACCTAACAATCTTACACATCATATGGAGAGGCTAGCTAGAGACGTGACCAATGTCATACGCTCTAATGTTGATAGCAATGAGATGATAGCCGGAAAAGCATACAGCATGGAGAAATTTGTCCATATCAATTGGCTGTGGTTGATATTCCCACTCCTGCTACTCGTGCTCAGCCTTGTGTTCTTGGTTGCTACTATCATCAAAACTTCGAAGGACACCGAGACAGGTATATGGAAGACTTCGGCGATGCCAACGTTGATGTACGGTCTACCGCAAGATATGCGGAAGGACAGTACCTCAACCACAAGCTCGGGTGGCGCATCACACCACGATCCCCGCAAGGTCAGAATTAGACTCTTGCCAAACCAAGGCTGGAGAGTGTCTGGACAGGTGCAGCCAGCACCGACAGCTCCACCTGGTTTCATATGACCGTAGACCTTTGCCCGCGATGTTAAACTATAGACAATCAAGTCATTCTGATAGAACTAAATTGCATGTAATGAAAAACCATATCTGGCACGTTTTGCCAAGCAATCGTCATCGCGGAGCCAATCTCGCTTGCCGAAGCCCAGCTCCAACGCGTCCCGCTGACCCTCGCTCCTTGTGTCCCCATCCCGACTTCATCACTCAAATTTCGACTCCCCCTTCGGTCGCCGGAAGATCTTCGCTTACTACTGCATCCAAGGTCGCTCTATTCGTCTGCGCGATGTGGCTATGTCGGTCTCCGCGCCGAGGTCGGTAGCTGGCATCCAGTCGCCATGCCGCAGCGCTAACAGCAAACCTCCCATAGGCGCACGATAACGAAGCGCATGCCCAGCCACGAGAATGGACACGCGCAACTTGCGCTTCGCTTCTGTGATACCTGGCTAGGTAGTAGAAGATGATGTTCAGCCTATACAACTCCGCAGGCGCCGGTCTGCGGCCATCTCGCTTCCAGGAATCGATCGAAACACCTTCTTGCCCGCAAGACGTCTACCCTTCATGTCTCTCACCGAGAACCACGATACACTCTACAGCAATATACGCCCCACGTCGATGGCTCCAACCTCGACAGCAAGACGATCTTATCTTCCCCACAGTTCACCACAAAGTGGGGAATACCGAGGGCCACATTCGCCTGAATCGCTCGACCCTCCGGAAAACGAAATGCCATCGCTAGACTTTACACAACGAATCGAGAGGAAATTAGCGGAATACAACGCCTCTAACAACGTCTTCAAGAGATGGCTGTTTGAGATCTCGAGCTGGTTAATCAGTGCATGTTCAATGATCTCAATAGTCCTGATATGCCTTCATATCAAAGATCAGCCAATACTCTCCACGAATAGCGCGTTCATTACCGGGATCAATGTGCTGGGGAAGATCGCGTCTGCTGGATTGATAGTTCCGACAACCGAAGCGCTCGGTCAGCTGAAATGGAATTGGTTCCACAACTCCAAGGCTATGTGGGATTTCGAAATATTTGACAAAGCTTCTCGTGGACCGTTAGGAGCGTTAATGCTCCTTTATCGCACTAAGGGTCGTTCACTAGCAGCACTCGGCGCTCTGCTAATACTCCTGCTACTTGCTATAGATACATTCTTTCAACAAGTCACCGAAGTATCCGACCGATGGACCCTCCAGGCAACTCTCGCGGCAGTGCCTAAGGCGTACAACTATGAATCGACCTATCCGAAAGAGTACCTAGATGGATATGAGAGAGCAACAGACGATAAAGACACCTTCTTGACAATCGAAAAGTTTTCCTACGGCGAAGGCATACGTCCAGTCGTGTTCGGAAACGCCGTTCGCCCCGATATCTCAATCGTAAGTGATACACGATATGTCATCTCGATTTTCTTCCACCGTTGATCTCCACGCTGACCAGCTACGTCTAGTCTTGCTCGACTAGTAACTGTACATGGCCCTTGTACAAGACACTAGGCGTTTGCAGTCAATGCATGGACATATCTACTGAGCTCTCGTTTGCGTGCTTGACGCAAACTGTGGATTGGACCGCAGATTCAAATGGATTATTCGATCTTCAGCAGCCGTACCCTAATGCGACAGCGTGTGGTTACTTTCTAAACGCAACAAGCGACAATCCGACATTGATGTCAGGATACCTGTGGGACGAGGCCAACTCGGTCGCGGGCGAAGCCCTCACGATGCGCACTTTTCCACTGACTCAAATTATCACGAAAGAGCCTTTATACGGCAACGGCTCCATTCATTTCAAGCACATACGCCACAAGATTCAAGACGTTCTAATCGTCTCATCGAGCGATGGGTCAGCTGAGGCGGTGTACCGAAATGAGACGCCTGTGGCACAAGAGTGCCACTTGTCTTGGTGTGTAAAGACCATGAGCTCGTCATATACTTGGGGCGGGTATATTGAAGAAGTAGTTGACACTGTCTTCAACACCACTTCTGGTCCATTTCCTTGGGAAGCCTATCCTTACCAGACCGAGGCTGAGAACGGTACCGATATCTTCTATATGGAGAACATAACTATCAAAGCGGGAGAATTCACCGGCGATGGCAAGCTTGCCAATTTTGGGACGTCAAATAATACTGCCTTGGCGTTGATACAAGGCTTCACAGATATATTCCCCGCATACACCACTCAGGCCAATGAGTCAGCTTCCCCAATCCTGCGCTACAAGACATGGAAGACGGGTTCTCCATGGCACCAAACGCTCTTCTTCAACCCATGGCTTGCTCCAAACAATGTCTCGGGGCACATGGAACGATTAGCCACAGCTCTGACCAACGTCATACGATCAGCGCCTACCCGCGAGGATGTCGAAGGCCACGCGTTTTCTAAGGCCAACTTCGTATCAGTAAGATGGGCATGGCTTACGTTCCCACTTCTCTTACTGGTCCTAAGCTTTGTCTTTCTGGTTTCGACAATAATCAAAACCTCCAAGGATACGGGTGCCGGCATCTGGAAGACTTCCGCGATGCCAACCCTCATTTACAGCTTGCCGAAAGAGGCGCAAACCCAGTTCACCAAATCACCAACTTGGAACAATTCAAAAGATACCAAGAAGGTTCGCATAAGATTGCTACCGAAGACAGGATGGAGAGTGTCCGGCCAGAGCCAATTGAATCGTTCTCCACAACTACCACAACCTGCTGTTCAAGCACCACGTGGCTGGATTTGAGCTATGTTACCTCGCCCTGTATGGCTGAATACTGTGTATAATATATAACATAAGTACTACTTGAACGGCAAAGCCGGACTCCCCACGGGGTGCACATAATGGACGTTTTTACAATTTGATCTGTCAAGCGATCAGACAGTCAGAAGAGTGTGCAGACACACTACTCTATCTGATGCATGGAGCATGATCTAACGCATCTGTTCGGACCCACCGAGGGTTAATTTACAGATGTGACGCCACCCGCAGAAATCTCCTGCTCGATTGCGGCGTGGTCGCGGGCCGTCACATCCTTCCGGCGTGACGCCTTGTGTTGCAACGTCGACGCGACGCGAAATGCAAGGAATAAGCATGCACGACGTGTTCATCACACGAAGATGTGCAATCATTGGAGTGTGGACGGAGAGCATGATGTCTCCAGGATGAAAGAGGCAAGCTGAAACGCAAAAGCCTGTGGCTTCAAAGACGGCAGCGGATTGAAGCACTGTGGAGGGGTAGGTGGAGATGAGTATGTTGTGCAAGATTTTGCATGTCATTGCGGCGTGGGTGTCAGGATCGAGCATATATGACATGCTGCGATTACAACACTCAGGCTGATACGAAAAGTGCACCACTGTCCAACCTCTCTTTTCATAAGCACATCGACCCAAGCTTGGAGAGCTCCATCGTTGTGGAAGAGCATCAAAGCCTTTTCCATAGCCATTGACACTGTATATCCCCGACCGCCACCATGCACGGATACAAGGTCCTCCTCTTTGCGACCCTCGTGCTCCCCATCTTCGCCGTTCCCCTTCAAGGCTCTACCGTACGTCTCACCCTTCAGTCGCATATGGAATTTAAACTGACACCCGTACCAGATTCTGCAGAAAGACCGAGTAGCCGAACGAAACAACGACCTTGTTGGGGCCACTATCCTTCCCAGCCCACCGGAGCGAGAGCCTATCATCAATCTGGTGGAGCGAGCCAGGCGTATCGGCGGTAGTGGCTTTACCCCCCCGAAGAGGTCGTTAGAGGATGTCGAGAAGCGAAAGAATCGTCCCAATGGAGGTGGGTTTGGCCTCCCTAAAAGGCGTCTAGATAGCCTAAAGACCCAGGGGATAACTCGTCCTGTTGGCGGCTGGGAGGCTCCGCCTTCAGAAGACAGGCTCGAGACACGTACAAAAAGTCGTACTGGCCAAGGCTGGGATAATGGAAGTCAAGGGAGCCACGAGGCACGCCAAGAGGCCAGCGACGATGAGGATCTTGTGGACGAAGTCGATGTCGATGCTCTTGGCTTTGGTGGAAGCAAGAGGGGTCTACGTGGTACAGGCGGTTCTGGCGGTCACAAGAGAGGGTTGCAACTTCCTGGTAAGGGAGGAGGTGGCAAGAGGGGATTAAAGTGTCCTGGTAGCGGAGGAAGTAAGAGAGGGTTGACCCCTGCCTGTGGAGGAAGCAAGTGAGCGCACGAGCATAGTTCCTCGTCCGTTCGTAAAGCAGTAGCTGTAGTTTCCTTGGTTCCTTGGTTCAAGTCACTTTCCAAGTAACACTGGATGTTCTTAGTCTCACATGGAGCAGGCTGTTTGGACTGTGTTTTAGATCTACAAAGAGCGAGAAGAGATCGTCTGACGCTGTCCAGCTATGATTTCATTGTGATTAGGCCTTTGACACCTCTGCTCTTGCTCTTAGTATGCTACAACTATCCATATGAACGGCTTTTCACGAGCTAACACGCTTGTCTTGCATCACTTCCTCTTCTGATACAAGTGTAGTAGGTCATGGAACTATGGTTTGAATTGGCTATAAACTGCGCTTCATTTTAGACCTTCAAGAGCAGTGTATGCTTCTTGGCAATGTGATGTGCATGGGAATCAGATCTACAGAATTGCCTTGTAGCAAGCGCTTCGAGCGCTTGGGAAGTGATGAATTGGTGTGATCAAAGTTACTAGGAGCGATGGGATGCATTTCGGTGCGTTCTCGGTCTCGTGTGCTATGCCGCTAAGCGCCATGGGTTCCCACTTATGTCAGTGACTGGGTTTCAGCCTACCTAATTTGTACCCACCATTATGCTCTCTTGGCTTTCTTCCAATAGTTGGATAGATTGCACAAGACACCATGGTCTTGCGTGCCTGGACAATGCAATAGAACCTGCATCGGCGGCATCCAAGGCGATCATCAGGGTGAGGCGCGGTCGCGATTTGAGGCGCCAACATCCTGGATACACTCACACTTGGTAAGCCTGATCCATAGATAAAGTCGTAGGCAACTCCCTTCGTTACTGGCAATAGCTTCATCAACTGAAGCGCTCCAATTCTCCTGGTCATCGAAGTCTCAGATCAATCATCTTCATTCACGCATTTATCACTACAAGCATCCAATATGCGCGTACTCGCAGTCACCGCAATTCTTTCTTTCTCTCTTTCTGTTCTCGCGGTGCCTGTCGCGAACGCTGAGGTATGTTATTCTGCAGTCATATCACCGAATGTTTGCTTACAGTAGTATAGATAACTCTCATCGAGCCCTTGGAAGCACGCAGCCAGCGAGTTAACCCCGACGTTGGTCTTATAGGACGGGCGGTAGTCGATGGAGAGGACTCTATCAAAGCTCGGGGCAGAGTCAACACCGGTACAGGACGGCCGAAACGAGAGGCCGAACCCGAGGCTGAAGTTGAGGCCCTGGTCAACCGTGGTCACATTGTCCCATATCCAAGCACGGCCCTTGCGATTCCAGTAGGCGACTTGGTTGAGCGAGCCCGTGGCTCCCGCCCGGGTGGGGAGGAGAGTGCTGCTGATCCCCGCAAGTTCAAGACCGCTGGTGATAGTCGACGAGAGGCCGAGACCGTTGAGCGATCTATGAAGAATCCGGGAGGTGGCATCCGTGATGATTCCGAGTCGATCATGCTCGGCAGCCCTGGTGGTCATCGACGTGAAGCACACCCAGAAGTATGGGGTAGCACCACTCGTCGGGAAGCTGTACCAGAGGCCAAAAACGGATTGAACGTTGCACCAGGTGGCCCTTGCCCTCGTGATGCGTCGCCCATCAAAATTCCACCAAGTGGCTGCCGTCGGGATGCTGCTGCCCAGCCTAACAGAATCGGCGGGGGTACTAGTGGCGGTCGACGAGATGCCATTCCAAGAGGCATTCGCGGTAGTGGTGCTAACCCACGAGGCGTCCGTCCGGGCAACGGGAACAACCAATAAGATGTCACTGCAGAGATGGTGGAGGCTCGTGGGAGGTACCGAACCTCAAGCCGTCGTGTTTGATCGAGGAAAGCCAGAGAGGACAATCGGGCAGATTTCATTTCTTTGGTTGTTGCGAACTCTTTCTGTACCACAAGATCGGCTCGGATACCTCAAGGACCTGCTGGACATCAGGCGGGAGGTATCCAGCTATCCTGTATCTCTTTACAATAAACTACACAAGTTTCCATTGGAAGTAGCTTTAGGTCCATCCCGGTCGTGGTTGTCTTGGCAATTGTCGTGATGTCGAGGCGAGTGTCACGTTGTGCTCTTTCGCTCTGGCTTTTGGAGTGCCGGTGCTTCCCGAAGACATTCTCCAACACTTGGCTAGTTTTTTGCATTTACATCACGGGAGAAGGCTGTATGGGTACAGATTGTATCGAGATTGTTTTAAGACGAGCTATGAGTACATGAAGCCGGCATACGCCGGCAGTATCAAAGATCAATGCGCAGCTGATATGGTTCATCGCAGCAGCGATATCAGTAGACCACACGAATGCAGTATGATAGACCAGCAAAGCCAGTATCGTGGACCAGCAGAGCTAGTATCAGGGACTAGACGAATCTAGTATTGTGACTGGTCCGAGACCAGTATCAGGCAATGTATGCACCGCTACCAGCGGCAGAACCTCGCTTATTGATGCTGACGCGAGCTTAGCTCCGAGCAACAGCATCATTCAGAGTATCGAAGGATTCATTGCCCAACTCCTTCGTAGGGTCAAATGTCCTCGCCGAACTATCTGTATGTTCGAGGGCGTCGAAGTGGAGTCAAATTGTCGGCCTCGGCGTATTCTGTGCTAAGACTTGGAGTCTCTGGTCGATGGAGCCATCCTATGGGTGCCGGCTGGCAGCATAGCAGCTTCATATTACGACTTCGATCGAACATCTTGGGAGGGCGGATTGACCAGGGACGGATCAAGGTTCCGGCTTGATGAATTGGCTATTGTATGGAACATTTGTCGAAGTCTGGCCAAGTTGCGCACTGCTCTGCTGCGGAGGCGAAGCCTGGTTGTGCTCATTCGCAGGCATGTTCGCACGATTGCCGATCAAAATAGAAGCTGACGCTTGCTGTAAAATCTCCGCAATCTGCTCACGCACTATCGAGGTAATTAGGGCTCGGAGTTCCGGCGTATCGACGGGAGTGCCAGTAGTCGTATTCGAAACAGGTCCGCTGGCTTGTTGTGCAAGGTACTCGTTCACCTTTCGCTCGGCTTCCATATAGATGTTGTGCGAATCCTCGAATTCGTTGACTTGATCGACCTGCAAAGAATACAAAGGAATAAGCTCTTCACCATTCCTTATTATCTCAAAAGTTGTGCTACGATAGTCGCGCGCGAGTGCCATAGCCATATCGTAATCAATCTTGTTGGATGCATTGGGAGTGTAAACTATCTGAATCAGTATTCCGGTTTTATTGAAAGAACGAGCTGACTGACATTTCCTCTTCTTTCGCGACTCCGTTCCCATTGAGTCCTGCGCATTGTACGCGCCGTATCGCACATTATTGTCGGATTGGTGAGAGTTGGAATAAGCTCCGCTGCGTTGCGAATTATTGGCGAATTGGTTCGAATTGGCATACTGGTTTGAATTGGCGTGTTGGTTCGAATTGGCGTATGGGTTCGGGTTGGCATATTGGTTCGGATTGTTTTGGTAAGGGCTATTGTGGCCCTGGTTGGGATAGTTGTTTTGGAAACTGAAGTTTCCGCGACCGGCCATTTCACTATACATGTCAGCGCTCGTCTGCGAGATGAGAATGTGGGGGGTACTTACATTGTGTGTGAAAAGGCGAGGAGCTAGAGAGGCCAGGGAAGCTGCGATAATACAGCGGCAGGTGGGGGACAGCGTCCAATTGGGGTTAGCGTGGAACCTGGATAGCGACTTCCAGCAGCCGAGCGCGATACCCAGGCACGTGCCAGGTAACAACGCCAGCAGAGATTGGAACATTTCTACATCGTGCGCAAAGCCGCGAAATTCGAGAACATCTGGATAGGTCGCGTCCGATGTGAGGGCTAACATGAATGGCGGGTAGGAGGTGATAGTGGGTTATAAAGTACATACATTCTACCCGATATTTCGTCGCGTTGCACCTTTGGCACCACCCACTGGAGTGCTCATTTTCTTCATGGGCGCGACACAAGCATCGTCTTCGACAACTGCATCACTTTGCTCGCATTATAGCACTTTTCATCTGTCGCTGAGGGCGGCGTAATTGCTCACCTCATTAGCGTGTTTACGCGTTGGACTTTGACGCGTCAATCGCTCTGTTATCGCGAAAAAGACGCGTGTCCATCAGCAGCCTATTACCTCAACGCCTACGCATAACTCGTTCATCGTCCATCGCCTATTGGCGGCAGTATATCGATTGTTCTGCTGTCCACTCGCCTGTTCACTTACTTGCGCATAGCGTCGCCAGAGGTGTAGAGCTTCGCCGCGGTTGCAAGTACTTAAGTATCTGGAGCGTTGCATAACCACCTCGTTCTTCGATTGAACGCTCTAGTCTAGGCTTCTCGGAAGTTTGCATTCGCCTCTAAACTGTCTTGCCGACTTCATGATACCATCGCGATCGCTTGCTTGCCACAGCGCAGCAATGTATTCTGCAGCACTGGTATGACGCTCAGCAGAAATCTGAGGCTGCGACATACATGCTGCCGAAGCATTGACTCGTTCAAATGTACACTGGCGACTACCTTTACCGAGTTACCAATCCCCAAATTTGGACGCTCAAAATTACCGCCGGAAGACTTCAGATTCGAGTGCGGTGGGGAGACTGGCTCCGGAGCGCAGACGGTCTATGGAAGCTAGGCTCCATTCTGACTAATGCCAGGCCCCATTCAGGCCCCAGTCAGAGTGGTACCAGCAACCGTGGAACGTACAAAGGACAGCTGGCAAAGCGAAGAATACTTCACTAAATTGCGCTCACTTCTTCTGGAAGTGTCTTGTCATTCCTCTTCCACCCAAGCTTGATCTTCACGAAGCATCCTCCGACTCGGCCATCATGAGTGCAGCGGTATCCACGATCCTGCCTATCGAAGCTGACCAGTCCAAGCTGGCTGATGATCCCAGAGGTCTTCTCCTACACTCGTTCTACGAGCCAGACCGCGACATCGAGGATTTCACTGCCAGAGAGTTGAAGATACGCTTTGGGATATACAAGAAGAAAGATCTGGCAAATTTCCCCGTAAGAAAAGCTCCCTCGTACTCAGAAGCGGAGCAAGCAGCATTAGAGCTTTGGAGACAGCGAGTCAACCACCATATGACAACGCGCATATCACGTTATAGCATTGACTGCTCCATGAGAGAACGCGCGACGAGTGTGCCACGGGCGTTGCCACCGGTTAACCGTTCAGAGCATCAGGTGTTCCAGATTCCGGAACTACTAGACTTGATTCTTCTATTCGCAGGCCCACAGGCTCAAGTACGGACGCTGCAGGTTTCGAAGGACTGGCGTTCCTCTGCCATATCTGTTGTGTCAAATCCAAAGAACATGGCGACATTCCGCTCTCTGGCTCATCTGGCGCCCATCGAATATGGGCAACTCGTCGATGATGCCACCAAGATCCTACCAGGGCCAGATTCACAGGAGGTTGAGCAGTTCAGTCATCATGTGGACCACATGATTGGTTTGCGGAACGAATCGTACCCACGAAGATATGTCTATTTTCCAGCTAGGCTTGCACAACTGGATGGTCTGCCACATGAAATCGCCCAATCGCTCAACCAAATGGACGTTGCCCAGCGTCACGAATACTGCCACGGTAACACGCGCACGGTAAACCGTGATACAGACCTCTATTGGCTAGACTTGTCGCAATTCGAGATCAACCCTTACTTCGACCTATTGTTCTCAGAGAAGGACCGTATGCTGCACCACTTGGGCAGATGGGAGATTGGCCTACGTGCCAACGCGACACCGGAGACACTCGTGTTAGGCAAGTCAATGTCCGAGCAGCTCTTCATTCAAGCCATCGGAACGATGCACGTTACAAGCCCACCTTGTCGAAGTCTGGGCATATACTGCTACGACAACTGCGCCTATGCGTTACGCGGCACGCATATATTGCTGAAGAGGATACACAACGACAACGGCATACGGGTTGCCGAGCTTCTTGATGCGCTTACTACTTGCGCCCCTGAATTGCTAGCAAAATGGGTCGAATGCGCCGAGCACTTCCGCAAGCGAATAACAGACGATGGACACTGGGTCGACAATGTTTGGCTGATACCGGGTACGCCAAGGTTTCGCATTCATCTGGATAACTGCGATATGCCAGTAGAAGTACCTGACATCGAAAGCGTCAACACAATACAACTGGCAAATGCTGTTGAGGCAGCTTTTGGTGCTTCTCTAGGGTACCAAGCTCACATCACACGCACCGCTTATATGTCAGCGGAGTTACCTAGAGCGACGAAAGAGGGCGAGTGGCTACCGGAAGAACTGTTTGAGCCAATGAAGACCGAGTGTGGACGTTCAAATATCAACTGGGATGCGTGAGAGTTATGAGAGTTAGTATGGTTCTTCGAGGCATCACTGGCACGCTTCTAACCTTCCTTTATTTCATTCTTGTTAACACAGGCATACTCAGATCATAAGCTTCATCTTCACACGCGAGGTGAGCATATGGGAAAGCCTCCTTGTTCCAACTTAGTTACAACATAGATCTTCAAAGTTACCGTTCTAATCAATGACCAGGGGATTATCCCTTTTCTCTCCCAAAATGAACAATGATTCGGAATCAAACCTGGAAGATCTGCTATCCTCTTAGCGGTATGCGTGATTTCACTTTGCCACTCTTGACCTTCCCCAAGCCTAGCATCAACATAGCCTCAGTCCGTTGGTAGCTGCAGCATCTCTGATTTGATCGATAGCTGCTGCAAGTCTTAGGCTAATCTCACACCCTCTCCGGCACACCAATTCGACGCTGGAAATACCAGTGATTCCATGCAGTCGATGCGAACCTGCACTCCCTCCCATCGTCTGGCGCATCTCTCAAAGTCTTCGCGAAATCAGTCCTTGGATGGAACTCGCTGCAACGGTCGCACCACAGCATCCCAGGCAGATCCCAGCTTTTGTTCTCGAGCATCAGTCGAGAGGCGAAGACATCGCGCCTCATGCGTCGCCAGTATACCAGTAGAGCGGGTTGATCGAAATAACGTCGGCGTTGCAAAATTGCGGTATGCCTGCAAGTACGAACGAGCGTTAGGAGGTCGGCGGGAGGGAGATACATGGCGATTTGCTCGAGAAGCTCATTAGGTAGACGGTATAGTGCAGACTCTCGATGATTGCGGTTCTCGATACGAAGGTATTTCCTTTGTGTCTTGAGATTGTGCCACCGCCCTATAATCGCTTGCAGATACGAGTTATTTTCCTCCAAGCAGAAGTATCTTTCATCGCGCGATACGATAAGATTGCGGTGGGTCCGCGTTATGGGTGTGACCCTGCCCGACGAAGTGATGGCCGCCCCTGTCGTGATGATGCTCATTGCCGCGAATGCAGCCACCTGCATTGTGTCGAGGCAGATAGTTTTGGGCCGTTAATGTTATTTTCAAGAAGAGTTTTTAAGGATCTTGTGGTATGTCTGCCTTCTCATATAGTACAGTCAGATTATATCACTAGCCTGCTTACCGTCACGAGAGGTCTCATTCGAGAATCCACATCTGTTTTCATGGTTGTGAGGTAGGTTGTGAGGTGCCAGTGGCGGCTTGTTGCTCGCTACCTTGGTACGCATCGTCGACGAACCGCTCTACAATTCTAAGTAGTGCGCGAGAATGTGCGAGCTGAGCACATTTGAGCCGCTATGATCGAGGCTAATGCGAGAGTCTGGATGTGTTGTTGACGAAACGTGATCGTGCCGTGGAAGATCCATGCCCGTGCAAGTCACAACGAAAGCAGGAGTTCGTGGTACCGGCGCTACTGTCGCCGCACCCGAGCTCACGGTGTTCAACCCGCAGGGTCTTACGCGTTGTGCGTCTATTACCAGCATGCCGCTCGCGCGCTCGCGTTACGTGCGGCTCGAGCATCATCGCCGCATTTGCTTTCCTATCCTTTAGATAATCTCAAGGCCAACGCCCTAAGAGTTTAGATCTACCGGCAACGAGGCGAATCCTCGCGCATTCGACGTGTCAATCGCGCCCAGATGCCATTGTCGTCGGAAAACCATGTCACATCTCGGTCACAGCTCCTTGCCTCAGCGCCTACATACTGATCGCTCGATCCCGCACTACATCCAGTGCATTCGTCGTTCCGCTGTCCGCTCGGCTATGTGCTGCGTTACAAAGACTGCAGGGACTCTACTGTCATCGCGAGTTTGTCGACTTTGTATCACTTGAGGCGCTGTGGACACCCCCGGCCGGGAGACGGTTGCGCTAAGTCGCATCGTAACTAGCGCCCAGGCTTCCGCTTCCCTGCACCCTCGAACCGTGGAACGATTAAAGGACAACTGTACAAAGCGGCTCTTAAAATCTCAGTCCCTTTCGAGTCGTTGCTCCCTCTATCTTTCATTAACAATTGCGAGCAGCACTATTCTCGTCCATTATGGGATCCGCAATATCCTGGATAGCGTCTTATTTCGAAGAAGAGATCCCGACTCAGGACGCGAAGGAAGATTTCCTATTCTCCATCTACGAACCAAACAACAAAACAAGACAACCTGGTATCTATCGAAACTTAAATCTTTGGCGAGATACTATCAATGAGCCTATAATAGCATCCCCACTCT